GACCGTCGAACAATCCCTAATTATGACATACAGCGGACCCGGAATTGCAACGAACGCTCCAGTCTCTTGCATGCGCCAAATACCGAGTGCTTACCAAGACCCCCAAGGGCAAGGAGGTGAACCCAACCGACCGGTTCTCGTACAACACCAGTTTCAGCGACAAGCAAATGCGCATCAAGATCAACCAGATCCAGCTGAAGGAGACCAAAGAGGAGACCAAGACGACACATGAGCGGGTTGCGGCCGACCGCCATTTCGAGACGCAAGCTGCCATTGTGCGCATCATGAAGAGCCGCAAAGCACTCAGTCACGCCGAGCTGATCGCGGAGGTTATCAATGCTACTCAGAGTCGGGGTGTTCTTCAACCCGCGGAGATTAAGGGAGAGATTGAGAAGTACGTATCCTTTCACTAGCCCCCTTATCCCTGGGGCTATTCTCACACTGTTTCTCCTCTAGGTTGATCGAGAAGGAATACATCGAACGCAAAGAAGGCACCAATCAATACAGATACGTATCATGAGGCATCATTTTCACATGTTAGGAGATGAGAGTAGGTACTTCATTCACTAAATGCACAGACTATTTGGTTTCTGATTCTTGGAGTGCGACTATTTAACATCGATGGAAGAGGAACAGTATAATGGGGGTTCGGACCTTTCAACTAAATTATCCGGTCAGGCATCTCCCGGCAACTGATTCTACTTTTTACAGCGGAGTAACTCCGGTCCCACCAAGCCACTTCAAAGTACTTGACCTCGGCCAGTGCCGATCGTCGTTTAATGCACTACAATCAAGGCCAATCAAATACGGGGAAAGGTCGGAGAGAGGGGTACACCTCCAGAGAAAATCTGTACTAGCATTCTATATGCGACGGATGGTCGGCTCTCTAATACTGATGATCTTGATATAATCGGATATTATTCTCAAGGGTTCTGTTCGGTGTTCGGAGTACGGAGTAACCGCCAATGCATCTGATCTCCACAGTCCGAACCCCAACCCCAAGTGGAGCAGCATAACCTATGAGATCAATGGTTTTCCCAAGAACACCCCATGACCTTCAGCTGTGCATATCTTGACCCCACAACACCCCTGGATCTGACAGCTGATCCGAGTCTGGATGCCCCTTTTGCATATGTGTAGATCCTTTGATCGAGGTCTCATGATGTCTCCACTTAAGACTCGCGGTCCAGTACTTTCTTTGCCCGGATGACAATTGGCATTAGTCGTAAGATAATAGGTTGTATTGCGGCGAAGGATATGATACTGAACGCTGAGATGAAAGCCTATAAGCTGGGATCGCTCGTTCGGAATAGATTGATATCTATATCGCCACGGGTACATCACAAGTAAGAGGTGGTAGGTGCACCAGGACTGCCGGCATACCTACCCAGTTGAGATTCAAACAACAGTCCCCTTGAGTGAGAGTGGGGGTGCATTATACAGCTCTGGATGCATCGAATTTTGCATTCTAAGAATGTTCTTCGGCGGCGAAAGCGCCTATTCGGATGATAGAGGACGTCTTTCTGGAATGCGGTGCCTGGCGGGATATCCTTAGAGGGTAAGCCGAAGCGCAGATCCAGGCCTTCATGTGAGCTGCAAAAAACAAGGGAAAACGAGATACGTACTCGATTGTATGATGTACACGATGTACGTGCTCGGGCTCCTTAAAGAGAGAAAAAATGCCCTCTACAGTGAAACCCGACTCCCACACTTCCACGCTTCCCCGACTCTCCGTCCGTGAGTCTCAATCAACTTGGCTCTAACAAAAAAATCCAAAGACACTAACATCATCCCAGAGACTAAACCCACTTTTTCCCCCGCCTGCAAGCACTCCCAGTCCAATCCGAGAGCTCCTCGCTGGCGTCGACTGACAATCTTGGAATCTTCAGAGCCTCTTTGTACCCTGTTAGCGACGACGAACGGTCCCCTTTACCTTGCAGAACCATTAAGATCCCTTAAATTCTAGATTCCAAACCTGTGATCTTTTTTGGGAATCCATAGTCCAGTATATCCACTGGACAAAAACTGTCCACTTGTGATCAACAATGCAGAGTACGCTCCACTGATCCCCAGATCTTCCCCACAAATCTAACCATTTCCCAGCCAAACATTTCTTCACCGACCCAAATCACCTGGTCCTCACAGCACTTAATTCGCTTACACTCACAAACCCATCTCTTGCCCTGGACCGACAGAACAAGATCATCTTCCGCCGTCCAGATGCGCCCCGCAGAGCAAACAAAGTCTCCATCGTGACTGGCGGCGGTTCCGGCCACGAACCCGCATTTGCAGGCTTCGTTGGCCATGGACTCTGCGATGCCTCGGTCGCCGGTACGATCTTTGCCTCGCCATCTGCGGAACAGATCCGTAGAGCGGTCATCGATCGCGTCCCCACTGATAACGGCGTGCTGATCCTTCCTATGAACTATACCGGTGATGTCCTGAACTTCGGTATGGCCACGGAGAAGTCCCGTGTTGCGGGCATCAAGACGGAATTCTTTGCTATCAATGATGATGTCGGTGTTGGTCGTGAGAAGGGAGGGAAGGTCGGTCGTCGTGGGATTGGTGGCGGTGTATTGATTCTGAAGATGGTTGGTGCTCTAGCGGAAGCTGGGTGAGTTGAAATCGCATTACATACTGTACTTCTTCACCCCCCCAAAAAAAACAACAACGCTAATGTCCCTCCTACAGCGGTTCTCTGGACGACGTCTACGCCCTAGCCCAGTTAGCAAACGCAAACCTAGTCTCTCTAGGATCATCGTTGGAACACGTCCACGTGCCAGGCCGCGGTGTACCCGAAGACACGATCCCGCACGGTGAGGTCGAAGTCGGAATGGGAATTCACAATGAGCCCGGCTCGCACCGTGTGAACTTCGACCTCGTCGAGCTGGTTGAAGGAATGCTGCGCCAGCTACTCGACCACAACGACCCGGACCGCTACTATGTGACCCGCAAGCCGGAAGACCAGTTTGTGTTGCTGATCAACAATCTGGGCGGCGTCAGCCCGCTCGAACTGGCCGGTATTACGGACGAAGTCTACCGCCAGCTCCAGCGCGATTACCAGGTCCACCTGGTCCGCGTGATTCAGGGCACTTTCCTGACCAGTTTGAACGGCCTCGGATTTAGTATTTCGCTGATGAAACTGGTCGACCCGGGTCTGGGCATGACAACAACTATGCTTGAGCTTCTTGATGCCCCCGCTGAGGCAGTTGGCTGGTCTGCTCCGATTAATACCACCACCTGGGAAAACAGCATTTATGCGGATCCCGTCGACCTAAAGACATCTAATCTAGCCGAAGACATCCACAGCAACCTACGGCGTAAGTTTTGCATCGCGCCCACCCTTCTCTTCTCCCCAAATGAAAAACCAAAATCTAAGATCACCCTAGTCGACCCAACCATCCTCCAAACCGCCCTCAACTCCGGCCTGAAGCGCGTAATCAAAGCCGAAGCCGAAGTCACCCGCTACGACACAATCGTCGGCGACGGCGACTGTGGCATCGGCCTAAAGCGCGGCGCTGAAGCAATTCAATCCCTCCTCACCACCGCTTCTCCGCCTTTAACAACCGACGTCGTCAGCACAGTCGCCCGAATCGTAACTGTTGTCGAGAATGTAATGGACGGGACCTCGGGTGCGATCTACGCGATTTTCCTCAACGCCCTAGCACACGGGTTACTTGCCCGGAACACAACCTCCCCGACGACAATCACGACAGAGACGTGGGCGAAGGCGTTGAAGTCTTCATTCGCGGCATTGGGAACATACACGCCTGCGAAACCTGGTGATCGCACGCTTATTGATGCGCTTGGGCCGTTTGTGGATACTTTGCTTGAGACTGGGGATGTGAGGGCGGCGGCGGCGGCGGCACGGAAAGGGACGGAGTCTACGAAGGCTATGAAGGCGAGTCTGGGCAGGAGTGTTTATGTTGGTGGGGAGGAGGAGTGGATTGGGAAGATTCCTGATCCGGGCGCTTTTGGATTGTCGGAGTTTTTGACGGGGCTTGCGGAGGGTATTTAGGGTTGGGCGTTCGGGGGCGATTGCAGCCTCATCCCAATGCAGTCCTTCACCCAGCACTCTTGACCATTGTCTCTTCAATGAAAGGCTGGCGTCGTCCATGTGGCGGTCGATCCGGATTGTTTTGCCTCCAACTGGGAGGTACCTGCATAGTGAGGCCAAATCCATCATTGTTCCTATATTCTGCGGCTATGCTACTTTTCAACTGGTCGAGTCTCGTATACATCGTTGCGTGAAATATCCAATCCTCAACTTTTTGGGTTGATACTATCTAGGAATATCTTAGGAGACCCGAATGGAGTGTTTTTCTCGGATTCGTTTCTTTTCGCTCGATTTTTATGGACTATCGCACCTACTCTCTACCGCGTGCTCCTAGAAACGTTTAAACTTCACACGTACTCATACGAGTCTGATGCTCACAACACATTACTTTCTAGGCGATACCTCGGTTGCATGCGGGGGAAAGACGCTATGAAAACTAGCATTGACTGTAACGACTGGAGACACTGTACGTATCTAGGCTCAGGATATTACTGCAACCTAGGATTCGACATAACCTCTACGTCGGGAGTCCAAACGGAACAGCTTCCTAATCTGCAATAGCCATGCTCCGGGCATTGGCCATCGCGTATAAACTGGAACCACTTCGCTCTATCTAGCCATTTGAGCAGTTTAGTTCGGTGGGAAATCAGAACATCACCTCTATTCCAGAAAGGGGCGCAGGGCTAGGTTGAGAATCACCCAAGTCGCGCCATGATCTCTCATATTGAAGTTCGACATAACTTGCCTCTTGATGAGATCTAGATGGAATATGCCTGATCGACGAGGCTGAGAATTTGGGCAAACAAAACACACATCATAGTTATGCCTTCAACCTTCTTTGTCCAACTCTCTTCCTGACATCCAACTCTCCTCGCCTGCAAGGAAGGGGAACAAGGCAATGATGGCGTGGTCCCGGATGGATGCATGACACATGTTGGGTGGGATAAAGTTCCTGGGAAGTCACTAAATCAGGTCACAGTCTGGGATTCTCTATCAGGTCCATTACGTGAGGCCGTCTGCGCGAACTTCCGCGATATTTGGAAGTATGTTCAAACCCTCTTTTACCAGTTGAGAGGGAAACTAACAGACCGAAGAGAGTTGAGACGTTATAGATGGGAACCAGGGATGCCCGCACTGGGCAATATTTTCTACGACGAGGTTACAGAGACGATATATATGGAATCGTCTATATCACTAACGTAATTCCCAAGCGAGCTGGCCACCCAAGCGAGCTGGCCACCCCAACCAGCCTATTAATTTTGAACGCATTTATTTCAACCAAAACTCCATCAAATTCAATCAGCTAAATTCTAGGTCTATCTGGACATGCATCTCTTCTATGTCCCTGATTTCCACATGCACCGCATTTCGGTAATGCCCTTGTTCTTGGTAAAAAAGGTGCTTCCCTGTGCGCGCGGACCTGGGGGCGGGGAGGTTCAATCACTTCCTCTGGCTGCACAATTAAAGCAGTAGCTTCCTGAACTGATAAGCCATCTGTAGCAGGTATCTGCTTTCGAGATCGAGTTTTTTTCTGCTTCTTTTTCTCGTTTTCCGATCGTAGATCGTGAACTTCTTTCTCAAGAATCGCTGCTGATTGCATCGTCATTTGGCAAGCTTTCAAAACCTGGTTTATCGCTGAATTGAGTGGACTTGGCGGGCTTCAGGATCTTTGACGAAGTAATGCTTTGATTGAGGATGCTTGTTTCAATAATTGAATGTGTTTTGTTGGTGTTTTTGGCTCCCATTCACTACCTCGACTAGAAAGTCGATATTGACCATTTGTCCGTGAATAAGTCGATGGAATGAATAGTTTTTCAAGCCATCGAAGGCCAATTTCATCAGAGGTCCATCCATTAGGACTGACTTCAAAGCGCCAATAATTTGGAAGATTGTCGAACCAAGATTCAATGAATACTTTGCCTTTGAAAATAATGCATGGAGGTAGTGCCCAACCTGAAGCATTTGTACATTCAATTGCAGTCACCCATTCGGGATTTCCAGGTTGTAAAAGTGATCGCCTACCGTAGTATTCAGATCTCGTAATGACTTTAGCAGTTGCGGTTAATGCTATTGCAAAACTAGTCTTATCGATGTTA